GGGGCCATGTGCGCTGCCATGACTTCACCTCTTCTACTTTTTTTTGAATGGGGCCACTAGAAACCCCTGTTGGTTGGTGGTGTAGTTTTGGTGGACGGGGCGGCTCTGGCCACCTCGAACGCTATGCCCTGGTGTTAATGGCACCTCCAGACGCGATTCTCACTTTCAGGGCGTCCCTGGGTGCCCGTGGGTGCGGGCACCGTCACCGGCCTGTTCACCCGCCTGCTCGTTTTCCCACCCCGTTCCTGAGGCTCGGCTCCCCTGTCGCCATCCACCGCTCCTCTGTTCCCTCTCCGCCACCTGCGGGTCTGGGCCAGTGACCCCCAGCTCCCCGCTGAAGTCCCCCTGGGGTCGCCCGTTTCTGTAAGAGTGACATTAAGTCCAGCTCCCCACCAGACCCCCCAGCCTCCAGGCACATGTGAGCACCCCGGGAAGGAACCGCTGTGTCCTTGTCACGAGAGTTTGCCTTGTGGAGACTGTCCCCAGCGACGTCACCAAAGGGCCATCGGCCTGTGCCCCCCTTCCTCCCATTGTTCCTGCCTTTGTCCACCTGGAAGGCTTTACGGACACCTCCTGTGTGCCAGGCTGCATGCTGGGTGGCAAGGGTCCAACCTCCAATGAGAGACCCATCCTCAGGGACTTGGGGTGGGGGCACAAGCGGGTACAGAGGGATGTGATTGGGGACCTGAGGAGGGGTATGAAGCCTGAGTGAGGTTAAGCAAGCAGGGGGCCACAGCCTCAGCCAGTGCAAAGGCCCTGGGGTTGAGCAAGGTCAGGCTCTGCTAGCTAGGGAGAGGAGAGAGGGACCCAGGGGGGTTGGGTTCTGCGTCTTGGTCACAGCTGCTCCAGCCCAGCAGCCAGTGGAAGCGGTCAGAGGGCAGGCAGGTGCATGGAGGCCTCAGGCCGCTCTGGTCACACAAGCCCTGTGACCTCCTGGTGTGGCCTGTGCTCTCCTCCCAGAATTTAGTCATGGGGCCTTGCAGGGCTGTGGGGTACTGCCTGCCTGCCTGTCCATCCTACTGGGGATTGAACCCAGGGTCTTTACAGTGAGCCATATCCCCAACACTTTTTATTTTTAAATTTTGAGACAGAGTTTAAGTCACTAAATTGCCCAGGCTGTCTCCAATCTGCAACCTTCCTGCCTCAGCCTCCCAGACTGCTGGGATCACAGTTGTGCGCCATCACGCCTATCCTCATGAGAACACCGGCCGTCGGATCGGGGCTGCTCACCCAAGGCCGAGCTCGTCGCCAGACCCTTGCCAGCCACTCCTGCAGAGGCCTTGCTTCCGAAGCCCACATTCTGAGCTCCGATGGGCAGTGCTCTGGTGGTCCATGGTCCAGCCCACCACTCTCGGCCCACAGTCCCCTTGGTCTCGGCTTTCCAGGTCCCTCAGGCACGTGCTAGTGGACGGGTCCTGCCTGGCACGGGCTGTCCAGGTGTGGGCGTGGGTGGGTCAGCAGCCGTGCCCTGAGGAGCGAGGGCTGGAGGGACGGTGGCCGTCACTGGGATGGACTTGTGC